TCAAAGGACTGAAACACCACCGAGGGGGATAAATATCTCTGGCTCAACACCAGTCAGTCAGAACTGATGAAGCGTCTTGGATGAGAGGTGAAACGTCTTCGACCTAGAAATCTAGTCCAAGTTTTTTCAGTTTACTATGACCTGGATGACTGAGAATCTGCACAGACATATTCAACATATATTGTTGTTTAGGGCAAAATAGGTTGGCGGAAGAGCAGCACTCGGCTAATTGTGCTGACCACCGACGATGGATTCCACATGGCTGGGGATGGAAAACTGGCTGGCATACTGGAGCCCAATGATGAACAATGCCACATTGAAAACAACCTTTATGCCAAGAGCAGTGAGATGGTATGTATCGAATCACATAAGGAAACGGACAGTTAAAGGGGTTGCAGCCCTTAAAATTATGGCTTCCAACAATTATGAAAACAAAATCATCTAGATAAAATGATTATTGTGCTGCACTCCATTTTGCAGTGATGCTAGACATGAGGTTTACAAAATGTAATTGCTTTCTCTCACCGTGTGCAGGACTACCCGTCTGTTGGGCAACTAGCAGTGCAACTGGAAAAAAACAATATTCAGCCAATATTTGCAGTGACAAAAAATGTGGAAAATGTGTACAAGGTAAGGAAAATGTAGCTTGCATTTTATATTATTTATATTTTGATTTTATTATATAATATATAATAACTGTTATATTATATTCTTACTCTGATTTCTCATTTTACCTTATGTCGTGTCCCAGCAACTCTCCAAAATGATTCCTAAATCAGAGGTGGGAGTTCTGTCGTCAGATTCTAGCAACGTTGTTCAGTTGATTAAAGATGCATACAATGTAAGTTGTCTATTTGCCACAGACAAATTGTGCTTTTGCTTCTCACCTTGTGTTCTCATTGATTTTTAACTTTTCTTTGAGACATTACACCTTTCCTCGTGATTTTGTGATATTCTTGTCTATATCTATTTATCTAATGATCTTCTGAAATGTGTAATTTATGACAGAGGCTGTCTTCCAAAGTAACCTTAACACATGACAATCTCCCAGACAATGTAAGAGTTGTCTACACACCCATCTGTGATCATGCAGTACCAGCAGGGGACAGTGAAGGGGTTTGCGACAACGTCCGTGTGGGGCAGGAGGTCTGTTCTTTGAGTTTTTCAATGTTTTATGGTGATGTGATGTTCACATATTAAGGTGCTCCCCATGTCTACAGTGTGCTTCTCAATAAAACATCATCCCTCTATTGTCCATCCAACTTGGTCCTGGTTCTGGTCTCACCCAACTGTTGGTCTTTGGTTCTTGTTACCATTGTTAACTCTGAGAGACGAGACAGTCCAAGTAACTTCAGAACAGTTGTGCTGTCCTCGATACACGCCTACTTTCGTGACAAGCTCCACACAAGGCTTGCTTTTCTTGTTTTATGGAGTTTATCCTTATACTATACTTGTAACTGTAAACAGATAACATGGAAAACAAATTAGTATACATGACGTTACTACGTCAAACATCAACCCAGCTGCATTAGCACACAAAAACACAACACGTAAAATGACAGCAATTACTACAACAGAAAGAGCTTACTTAACACAGCACCACTTACAAAGACATAGAATTCCACTAGGAC